CTGTTGTTATTTGTTACCTGTTGTGGCAGCTGTTGTTATTTGTTACCTGTTGTAGTAGCTGTTGTTATTTGTTACCTGTTGTGGTAGCTGTTGTTATTTGTTACCTGTTGTGGCAGCTGTTGTTATTTGTTGCCTGTTGTGGCAGCTGTTGTTATTTGTTACCTGTTGTGGTAGCTGTTGTTATTTGTTACCTGTTGTGGCAGCTGTTGTTATTTGTTACCTGTTGTGGCAGCTGTTGTTATTTGTTACCTGTTGTGGTAGCTGTTGTTATTTGTTACCTGTTGTAGCAGCTGTTGTTATTTGCTACCTGTTGTGGCAGCTTTTGTTATTTGTTACCTGTTGTGGTACCTGTTGTTATTTGTGTTACCTGTTGTTATTTGTTACCTGTTGTTATTTGTATTACTTGTTATAACAACCCGCTTGTTGTAACACATGTATTGAAATAGCAGCTGATCCCCCTGTCCGGGACCAGTAACCCTTTAAGCAGGACAGGTTACTTCTTAATGATTTTATTATAGATTATAAGGTAGAAATCAAAATATTCGAAATCAGGACTGGCCACGTTTCCATATGCACTTTCCAAAACAGCTAAACAGTCAATTTCAGATTTGCAGGAAAAAGGTCGTAACTTAAAACGTTGTATCGATTTCATATTTTGCCTCCACACGTGTCCACAGCCCTTGTTTCTCACTTCTATGAAGAGACTTACCGTGAGCGTTGCATTGGCTCCCACTTTATCGATGCTGTTCCAATTTCCGAGGTTCGATGTCACTTCCCTAACATCGAGTATGTATGAAGCTGTGTGAATGCTATCCCAAGCACCTCCATCGTGGCCCTCTCGCCAAGGGCGCCACCTGGTGACACCACATAAAACTGCAATCGCCATGCACAGTTGGACGAACTTTCGAGTCGATGGCATGGTTGCACTTGCTCAAACATACAATAATACTCAACTACATTAGGACAGTGTGAATTCGTCGGCGGAATTTTAGTATGGATTTTAATTTCCGTGCCAACGAAATTTTGCGTAATCAACATTATTTCCTCGTTGAGTGCACGGCATCTGAAATACCCACTACTCAGAACAAAACGAGAAATATGTTGAGCAGTCGACAGCAAGTGAATACATCACTCACACACTATCACACAGTTATGATATTACTATATGCATAAAAAAACTTGTTTGTGTCTATAACATACAATCAGATGAATATTTGCGATCAGCTCCATCGAACAGACATCTCTGTATAGAGGACACTATTAAAGTTTTCCTTGACTGACTAATACATGCAGGTATGACATGATCATATTCATAATCATTCCAAGTGATTATTATGCATATATGCATATGAAATTTTTTATGCATACCGAACTTCCAGGGCAGATAGATTCATCTGTGTTACTGAGGGTGCATCCACCAAGTATGGAAGCTCTGAAAAACACATGTAAGAACATGTCACACGCATGTAATCTACATCAACACGTGAGAAAAATAATTATAATCGACCACAAGCCGATTGTCAATATGTGAAGACGACATAGAATGAAAACTTCGGCACGCACCTTTCTGGCAATATTCTCCGTGATAGTAACGCGAACACGCCACGTCGCCACAGGACCCCGTCTCCGGATCGCAGGGGGCGCCACCGTAGCAGTGACACCGCTCCTGGCAGCCTGGCGGCGCAAACTTGCCATCCGTGCATCCTGGGGAGAAAATGAGACTCGGTCAGACACGAGGAGGTGCCGATCTAACACGAATCACCTTTATCGATCACGATGACATATGCACGCATTGGTTCATGATCAACCCCATCCACAGGCTGCACACTAGCTGAATTTTTTGACTTGCACGATTAGAGATGAATTACACTTCTACGCTGAAGCATCCAAACGGCTGGAAATGCTCACGAATTACGTAACCTATTCCTCCGCAGGAACTCAACGTAATGAATGCAAGCAGTGAAAGTAAATGCAACGAAAGTAATCAACTTTGCACATCTTCTGCAGCCATCGCATCCACATACACACACACACGCACGCACGCACGCACGCACGCACGCACATACACACGCACACACATGCTCTCCATCGCAACGTGCTGCAGCGCCATGAAATTTCCAACTGAATATAGAGGCCAACACTAGCCTATAAAAGACCTCCATGCACCCTCCCGGCCAATACTCTTCATGATAGCAAAGCAAACGACCCGGCCTCCCCCTCCAAAAAGTAAAAACCCCCGACCCTCCCCACTCCGCACACTACGCACCCTGCCTCAGGCGCTCGACACGGGCTTCCTCGCCCGGTTTCGATGGCGCGTCAATCTTCCTCGTCTCGTAGACGGACACGAGGCGGTCGCTGGCGCCGCCGCACTCGCCTCCGCAGAAGAAGCGGCAGTCGCTCGACTTGCCGAACCCCGTGTCGTAGACTTGCGCGCAGTAACACGCCTGGCCCCGCTTCAGGCCGGCGTACGGGAACGATCGCTGTCGACAGGCTGTCGAGAAACACGCGAGGATAGAGTGAGACGCGTGTACGAATTCCAATTGTCAACAGGTCCGCGCGACGGACTCGCGCGTCGCTGCGTATTCGCGTCAAAAATTGTTCGGTCGTCGTCGCAATGTAAACACCACGATTATTCTATTCATCCAAGTGCGACGACCGTATCCACCCCTGGACATTGTTGCTAGCTTGATCAAACCCAACCAGCTTATCTGTGTTTTTCACGTGGGCACACCGAAACAGTTCTTGGCCCAGTTTTTTATAACATTTTTTTTGCAAAAATCACGTTAGGCAGATAGGTTCATTACCGGCTACTACGTCTCGTCGAAAATATTAGCAAACAATTTTTCACGAGAAAGCTCTTTTTAACTCGCGCATGTTTTAGTTTCAGATGCAGGCACCTTGTTGAAATTAACATTACACTGGGGACTTGTGAAACATCTCACAGCTTACCTATTATACAGTTTGCGACGCTGGAGCTTTGTAGATTTCCATCTGAGATTTGTGTAGCAAAGTTTGGATAGGTTTCACCGTCACCGTAGCAACCACGATGTGCTTTTGAGATTACATCCTGATGCTCGTCTTTTGCTGCTGCAACGTTACAATGTGATCATATGATTGTTATCACCTAATTAATTTCTTAGGTACTTACTAATTTAAATTCGTAATTTACAATGCACCAACATGATCCACCCACCATTATGGTTCTTGTACGAATGTTTTAGTATGATAAGCAGCATAATAACAGTAATCAGATTTTCCTCCTTATAATAACAGAATAGTTCTGCACACGATCTGTCGTGCTGTATGGCCGATGATCATCTGGTAACACTACATGTACCTACCTCGCACTAATTCAGTGTGCTACACAAAAACGGTGCAACTAGCCAAGCCTTTGAAATCAATACTCGAGGGAAAACCCTATACTAGCTCATTCTGGCAAATAGGTTTACGCAGCTCAAAAGCCCCGGAGTGACACACAGCCTCAATGTGTGCACACAGATAACACAGAAGACAGATCAGCTAGAATGTGCTCAACAGTTGCTCGTATCGTATCGTATCGTATCATATCGTATATTGTCCCACTCTTGTATTTCACGAGGCATCACTTCTGGTGAAGGTGCGAGAATATTCTGGGAATGTGAACTTTCATCTCATCATTTTCATTAATTTGTACCTCCAGCATTTAATTCTGCTAATCTTATTCTTTGATCCCTATATTTTAGTAATTTCCTCACGTGGTCGGAAGCAATATTAAGTAACTTGGGATTACTCGATATTCCAACATTCCTCCACAATTACCAAATAACATTACTCCTACATTAATTTATTTTTAATTAATCAGCATACAGCCTAGGTACGTAAATGGCATTGAGACATGCATCACTTACTGCTTAGATAAGTTCCCAGTTACTTTTAGGAAGTGTCTAAACAACCGGATTCAGTTTCGGAGTCCTGAAAACTAAACAACCGGCTCTCTTCTCTGATTGGCTAATTTTGTCACTTATTTATTTTATTTTTTATTATTTTTGGCTAATTTTATTTTATTTTAGAATTAGGAATAGGGTTAGGGTTAGGGTTAGGGTCTATATCCACAAATTCTAAGTTGGTCTCAGTGGCTCAACGGTAGAGATTTCACTTCGTGATAGTAAGGGACCGTGTTCGAACCACATAAGATGTTTTTATTTTCCTCTGCTTTCTGTATTTCTTTGTATTTTATTTGTTTCTGCATTTATTTGTTCTGCATTCATTTATTTGTTCTGTAACTTCTGTTTATGTTTGGAATTAAATATATTTCTTTATGTTTTGCATTAAAAATTGTCCTATTACATATTTGTCCTGTTATGTTCGGAAACTGACCAATCAGAGAAGAGAGCCGGTTGTTTAGTTTTCAGGACTCCGAAACCGGGTCCGGTCGTTTAGACACTGCCTTACTTTTATGCAGAAAAAAGACTAGGAACATAACAGTACTGCTTGCTTTATTACTATTGCTAATATTAAAGGAATAATATGGCCATTGATTATGCAATGTTGACGAATGCTAGAGTAACTGGCACCTTGTGTAGTTAATAAGTACATTACCTTATAGCCAAACGCGTATGAGTTTGTCCAATATCACTGCTGGTTACTAAGAAATATCTAATTGAAATCTGCAGTCCAAGAAATGTTTACAGTTTACAGTTTCACTTTCAAACCTCTGCCAGCGAAACGGGTGTGATAAAGATTTATAGTGCACCGGACATTTTCGCACGCATGCTCGGCCGTACGCAATGCTATCATCAGTGATTTTGTAAACACGGACGCTCGTGATAAGGAATTTTTTGTCAGGGCTGTCCATGTGCGTCCGTGATTAGTATGTGTGTTTTACTCCATTTCCATGTTTAGTCCGTGGCCGTGGTTACACAGCTGACACCTCCATTTTATCTGACGTCCAAAACATACGGGCCGCACAAACGTCATCGACAAGTTATCATTCGACTCCTGAATGACATTTACGGCACGTGAATGAATATCAACAAACGATTTCAAGTCTTGTTTGTAATGTAACCAGCAGTGATATTGGACAAACTAATACGCGTTTGGCTACAAGGTAATGACTAATGCACTTATTAACTACACAAGGTGCCAGTTACTCTAGCATTCGTCAACATTGCATAATCAATGGCCATATTAATTACGTATTCCTTTAAGGAGCGGTATGATTGGTGGAAATTATATTATATAAGATCAAGCATTAACACCCCAATTGTTTATTTAGTGGTGTGACTCGGAACATACCACCTTCAGCTTATTTATATTAATAATGGCTAATGCCAATGCATAGCAATAGCCAATACTGCCAATAGTGGCAATACAAATAATAAATAATAAACGTGTTTCCAAGATGACACTCTACAGAATGTACCACTCACTTTAAAAATCAGCGAACAGTTTACAACATGCAATTTCACATGCTAAGAATGCATTCACACGCTAGGTTTGTTAATGCTATAAATGCTCTGCGAGGATGCGCTTATTTCTGGGTCGAGTGGGTAGCTAGGACAACTTGACATCACTTGCCATTCGCATTGCTTTCATCATTGGCAGGCTCATACTAGCGTGTATGTATGCTACTCAATGAGGTCTATTTAATTTAGTCGCGTTAAAAACTCTAGCATGCTTGCTTTCATATAATAATAATTATGCAGAACTTACCAAATACACGGCTATGAAAACATAGAAGCAAATATGTAAACCAAATGTTCAGACTTCCTGACTCCGCCATTTTCCTTTACTCATCGGTCTCACTGACCCCCCGGCAGGGTTACAGGAAATGAATCGACAGAGCTGAAAAAGCCAAAGGTCTATGCTAGGCAATGTCACAATTTATTACGACATGAGACGCCTGATTAATACAAGCGTCGCTGTTCGTATAATAATTCAAAATAGGATATATTTTCATATATTTTTCGTCATACTCATAAATTGTATTTACATTCCCTACATTACATTAGATGCCTACATACACTAACGTCCTTACGGGCCGCAAACTTTAACAGAGGAACATCCCTTTGTACAGAATGTGTACTGACGTCAGGTGGCGCTGGCGTTATAAACATGGGGAGTAAACTTCACTCATTTAATCCTCAGTTTTAGTCTAGTTCAAATTGCAATAGCGGTATAACGTTAACAGTATGCAAACTCGATGTACAACTGTTTTATTATGTGAAAAACAGTCTTATTGACATCACGTAAGGCAGAATTGACGTTTTGGCCAAGATCAGAGACGGAGACCGGGAAAGGGCCCACCGTCTGGTGTTTGTCACCACAGGCACTTGAAGCGTATCAACTGTAAACACACGCCGCCGCCATTGCGCGTACACTGACACATAACTATATATTTATGTGTCAGTGTACGCGCAATGGCGGCGGCGTGTGTTTACAGTTGATACGCTTCAAGTGCCTGTGTTTGTCACGTTGATTTTTTTGTCGTTGAATGTCTTCAATTGATTCAATGGACACGAGTTTACTTTACTTTAGCTCTACCCGTGTACGGTGTAGTCCTTCGCTCTTTTACAGACACTGATGATTCCTAGAGTAGTGACACAGATATGTAACTTCATAGATACGATAACATAATCCACCAAGGCAGCCAATCGCCCAGTTATGGTAGAATGTTAATGTATTAACTATTACTATTAGTATTAAGTATTAACTATTATATTCTTTGTGCTTTGTACTTGTAGCATTATGTGTTTCACTGTTCGTCTTTCTATTACAGGTGGTGTAAAATACTCAAGCGGCCAACTTCAACCATTATGAATAGCATACACTGAACGCTAGTCGCAAACATCGTCGAGCCATGACGGGTTCAATCGGTTTATAATGAGATCAGATACCTTCTGAAAAGTTGGTCATGTCATTCAATACTCATCTCAGCGTGTTATCCATGTAAGACTAGAGAAAAGTTGATCACGTCATTATATGCTCATCTCTGCGTGTTATCCGTGAGATATTAAAGAAAAGGTGGTCACGACATTATATGCTCATCTCTGCACGTTATCTGTGAAAGACAAAAGAGAAACTCATCACATAATTATATGCTCATCTGTGCGCGTTATACGTGAAAGACTAAAGAAAAGGTGGTCACGGCAGTATAAGCGCATCTCTGCGTGTTATCCGTGAGATATTAAAGAAAAGGTGGTCACGACATTATATGCTCATCTCTGCACGTTATCCGTGAAAGACTAAAGAGAAACTCATCACATAATTATATGCTCATTGGTGCGCGTTATACGTGAAAGACTAAAGAAAAGGTCGTCACGTCTGTATAAGCTCATCTCTGCGCGTTATCCGTAACAGATTGAAAGGAAAACTTGTCATTCGATGCTCATCTCAGCCGTACTGTCGGCGCTCACCATCGCGCTATTGTGCATCGTCGACACGGCGGCGCCGAGTCTCATGTTCCAGCACCTCGTCTACATCCTGCAGGTCTGCTTCGTCATGCTGTGCATCGTCATGGCACACCACATCATCTCCGCGCTGTACGCCGACCACGAGCTGATTGCCTACCGCCTCACGTCCACGTCGTGAGCCGTCGCCGCCGCCGCCACGCCTCGACCTTCGCGCGATTTGTCGCAATCTTTCTGGAGCGGGGTGGAGGGGAGGGTTTCGTCCGCGCGACGGACGACGATGGTCGATGGGATTTGATCGCACGCAGTGCGTCGTCGTGAGCGCAATCTTACGCAAGCTTCCGCCATTTCTCGCGAGGTCGCGAGCGAAGCGGTCATGTCGGACATGAGTCACGCGGCGGTGGCGGCGGATGCCGGCCGGCTCGACCGCTCGCCCGCAAGTGGGTCCTCGGCGGTGGACAGCGCGCTGTCGACGCCCGACAGCCTGCTAGAGGTCGCCTCAGTCGTGTCGTCGCTGTCGGGCGAGGCGTACGGCAAGCAGTACTCGACCGAGAGCAGCCTCTCGTTCGCGTCGGCCGTCGACGAGTTCGACTTCTCACCCGAGCGCGTCGTCATGGCGACGCTCGACTCGGACGCACCTCACCCGTCTGTCAAGCGGAAACTGGGAGTGGCTGGCCGAGCGTCCGAGGTGGAGGTGGAGGTGGCGCCGTGCGCAGAGGGAGAGGTGGGGGCGCTGCTGTGCAATGAGGAACAGGCAAGCGCACTGCGGCGTGACAGGGGAGAGGCGAGTGTGCTCCGGTGTGCAGAGGAAGAGGTGCGTGTGCTGCGGCGTGATGGGGGAGAGGTGAGTGCGCCACTGTGCATCGAGGAAGACGCGAGCGCGCCACGGCGCGACGGGGGAGAGGCGAGCATGCCACAGCACGACGACGGACTGCTGCGGCCCGCCGACGCCGACTCCGCCAAGAACCGCTCGAGCGAGACCCTTGTCGAGGAGTTACGCGAGCGGCATGACGGCATGACGCGTTCGTCCTCGTACCCCTGCGAGACGATGTTCTACGAGGGCAACCCGGTCGGTGCGATTGTCTTCGGCGCGTGGGACAACATCCTCGGGCCGCGCGTCGTCGCCGCATGGACGAACACCGCGCGCTCGCCGCCGCCGGACGCCGACGACCTGCGCTACGTCGCGGGTCGCGCGCTCGCCGGCGAGCTGTGTCGCGACGTTGCCGCGGCGACGTCGTCGTCGCGCGTCGAGAACAAGCTGCTCGCGCTCGCGGGCCGGCGGCTTGTCGTCGACGCGTACGTGTTCGGTGCGGCGCGCGAGCCGTCGCGCGTGAGCGCGGTGGCGCTGGTGCTGCCGCGCGACGAGCGGGCCGCCTTCCTCGCGACGCACGCGCTCATCGCAGACTGGATGCAGCGCATGGTCGGGAAGATGCGCGTGCTGCTAGAGGTGGTAAGAGACAATCGCACGGCCTGGGGGGGGGCGTATCGGTGGTAGACATGCGATGCTCTGGTAGCGGTGCCGTAGTCACGGTTACGTGATTGGTATTGGCGGTGGATAGTGGCGAGTGATGAGATGCGCGGGGAGTAGTGCCACCGGTAGTAATGCACAGGTGTTTTTCTAAATGTTATTTGTTTGAACACACAAGAGCTGTGAGAAAAATTATCAGGACGATGAGTTGGAATGGTGTCTAGTTGTGTATTGGCATTAGGCTCACAGCCTGGTCTGGCTATAACTTATAAGATATGCAGAGTACAAGTCAAAGTACGTTGGTATATTCGCCATGTGTCGGCTTCTAAAGAAAAATCCTGCATCCCTGAATGTAGTAAATGTATGATTGTGCAACTGGCAATGGTTATATGTGTGTTCCATCAATCATTAATGTAAAAGAATGCATTTACGTGATATGTAAATGCACTTGTTCATCTTATACATTGTGGTATTTGCCACATACAGGTTTGCTTTGTGTTTCTAGGAATCTATAATGGATGCTGTGAAAGATTTCTCTATGTACATACCAGACTTCATGGAAATGATAAGTAGTCTCCGGCTGGTTGGATTGCCACCAAAAATTAATGTAAGCAAATTAGTATAAGTATTTTAAGTTAATTAGGTAACAAAAGTGATTTTATATTATTAAGGCTATTTCCAAGTATTTCTAATGTTATGTATTATATTTTGGTAATACAGATGTTTGTAATAAAATGAAACTATAAGTATATATTATAGAACTATTAAGTTCATTTATGAACAGTATTGAGAGTGAATTAAAGCAAGTTTTGTTTAAATTATTCACTCCTGACATTCATGTGGTGATGTAGGGAATTTTTGAAATGTTTTTGCTTTGATTTGCTTCCAGACATGTGATACTTTGCTTGGGGCTGGAGAGAACATAGAGGTGCAATTTATAGCGAAGGCTATAGCCTCACACATGCAGACATTCGGCTGCACAGTCGTTATAGGACAAAATGCCCAAACCGTTAATGAGGTACAGTAATTTTTCTGTAGAGAGATTTTCTACAGAATGTGTATTTGAGATTGCAGATATTAAAGTGAAAACTGTGATGTGTGATCAGTTAAACTGAGTTGATGTAATGCATAAACGTCTAAATTTTATTACTTCCATGTACTTGGTAACAGTAATGGTAACGCAGAGCTGGCTGTCAGTTAAATTGGTCAGCAATGTTAAATGTCTAGAGGTTGTAATTTATGAATGAATTGGATATATGAATCATTAATTACCAAACGTGCTCTTCACAAATTTATAAAAGCAACCTGTTAATCTGATGCACATTGCATTTTAAGATGATCAACACCCTTGGAATCTTCCTATTACCAGAGGAAAGGCAATGTAGTAGATATGTGCTCGAAGACAGTCTTTGGCCTTATCACCCTAGTCTCTTTCTTCAAGGCCTTCTAATGGTAAGAATACTGCACATTTAATTGCAGATTTTAAATAGTCACGTGGCACCGTTTTTCACATTTATATTATATTATTTAAATATCTTTTATGTTAATGTTATCCCTGCACTGAAATTGTTGTGTGGGATTCTACTGTGCACCTGTGCACCAGGCGTGATTGCAGGGGTGGCAAGGTGAGAATATAACTCTCGCCAGTTCATTCTCACGTGCCAGTTACATTTGTACTTCACACTCGTTCCCGGTTTATCGTTTCTATCTGCACCCTGCCAGCTACACAATTCTTACCTTCATCCATATTTCGTGTACAGGCTTTCCAGCAGTCCTTTACAACATTTTAGGGCTAATTTTAGGGAAAAATTAAGGTTTTTTTTAGGGCTATTTTAGGAATTTTTAGGGATGAATCGAAACATTTTAGGGATAAAATAAGTCAATTACCTTTCATAAACATCAACGTGTTAACGTACAGATACAGTTCTACGTGGTATGTGTCCAGTCTACCAGCTATTCCTATCCTCCAAGTCCTCGATACGACTGTACATCATCAAGTTTCATGCAAATTAGGCATGTCTTGTACATCCAGCCAGGAACAGGGTCGTATAATCACACACTGAAGCTTAGGAATCACTGGTAGACTGAGAGTCACAATACTTACTCTGTATAAAGATAACTAGAAAACATAGCGTATTCAGAAATTGATGGGGGGCGAAATGTACCTTGGCTGCCGCAGGCAGGCCCGCGTGCCGTAGGCATGCCAGTGCTAGGGGGGGTCTGGGGGCATGCCCCCCCAGAAAATTTTGAAATATTTAAGCCATTTTCCTGCAATCTGAGGCATACTGTGGGCCATATTCTCATGTCTGATAACACTATCTCAACCCTAGACTAAACCCTACAACCCTTGTCTAATTAGCAGACAAACTATGCGACACCTTGCAGACAGCGCCTGTTTAGTAACTCTAGGCTGTTCCATTTACCATAGACATGCCAGATACAAAATGCCTGAAAAAAAACAATGTGTCCAACAGTCCAAGCGAACAATGCGAACAATCAGTGCAAATTTTGTACAGTGCAACTGAAATGATGAATATAACCTTGCCGCTGCAGAATGCGGAAATTAAGCCTAGAAATCGTAATGATTCTGCAGAATGAGGAATGGTTGGAGACCCTGCATTAGACATAATTACAAACCAAAAGTTCATCATCTCATCACCAAAAACTCCAAACAAATCTGCGAAATTTTTTTTTTAGGAATTTGAATAAAATTTTAGCCCTTTTTTAGGAATTGCATACGTTTTTAAAGTTTTTTTTAGGAATTTTAGAGCGAGCTCAAAATTTTAGGAATTTTTAGGAATTTTAGGGGCGCTGGAAAGCCTGCGTGTACCAGAGGTGCACATTGCTGCAGAAGCAGGAGGGCAAGAGGAAAGTCTTGCCAATTAATTTTCGCTTCTAGTTAATGTCGTGCTTCGCTCGTCCCATTTCTATCGCTGCTATCTGCACCCTGCCTGCTACGCGCTTCTTCGTTCATTCGTTCTCGTCATCGCAGCCGTCGCAATTCATTTAAGTTCCCGCTTCTCCCTCCCCGTTCTATCGTTGCTATCTGCACCCTGCCTGCTACGCGTTCAATCCTTCGTTGGTTCGTCGCAGGAGCGGCAGGGCGAGACGAACATCTCAGCGCGTGACGTGCTCTGCAGCCGCTACCCGACGACGGTTGTTGACGTGACGACGAGCGAGGTGAGGCAGTCGCCGCCGCTACACGAGCATGTGCACCGCCGCTGCGATGCGCTCGCGCAGGAGATACACTGCATCTGGACGGGCAAGCGCGAGGACGAGCTCTACCCTACAGTGTAAGTCACCTGCTATACTCATAGTATACTGCAGTGTAAGTCACCTGCTATACTCATAGTATACTGCAGTGTAAGTCACCTGCTATACTCATAGTATACTGCAGTGTAAGTCACCTGCTATGCTGCAGTGTAAGTCACCTGCTATACTGCAGTGTAAGTCACCTGCTATGCTGCAATGCATACACAGTGTATATTGTTCGAGTCATGGGGAGGTCTGTGTAGCAACCGTGTGCCACAGTTTGCTCTGTTTCACGTTTTGTTGTGATTACTTTCAGAGGTGTTTTCCAGCCAGTTGATTATCCAGACACTTTGGTGCAGAATTTTCTTTATGAGGTGAGTAGTAGTATATACGCATTTATATTTAATCAATTACAAAGCTCTGTGTCTGAGCTCTTCCTCCTAGAGCGTGTAAACAATGTTATTGTTTATTATTAAGCACCACTGTCACTGTGCTTACATTTCAATTTACAAGCTTGGTGCTTGGACTTTGAATGTCAAATGTATTTCCCTAATATTTTCTCGATCCCTGCAGCTTTTCCAACTGAGTGGAAGCAATGGCGTGAGAGAAACCTACATACAGAACTTTATTCGGCTACTATCACGAAAGGCTCTAGCACTTATCAAATACGTCGAGACGCATACGTGAGTGTAAAAATCATATATTCAACTTCATAGTGGTATACTGTGTGTATAGCACCTCAGTAATGTGTATATTATTATAATTCCTGTATATGAAGTGATATGACAGTGGCAACATGTTTATTCGTGAGCACACGTAAAGAAACGGCGCCGCCCGTGGTGCACACGTAGGTCCTAACTGCCGTTGTATCTTGCCACTCATCTATCATCCATGGCATGTTACTCTGTGAGCTCGGCGGCACCATGCCATAAATGAGCGCGCTCACTCGACCGTGTTCTCGCGCTGCGAAACCTTCGAGCGAGCAACGCGTTTCTCGTATATCTCTGCGGCGCTGACAACCCGCTCCGATCTTTCCTCTGCTCAGGAACTTCGGTAGGGACCCTCTGAAGACGAGCATGCGCAAGCTGAAGCACGATCTCGACCTTGGACAGGAGGGAGACTTCCGGATCGTGCTGGCGCAGGCGGAGAAGCTAAAGCCGGGATTTTTCTGCTTCCTGATCGGGAACAGCAAGCTGTTTGCGGAACCGGTCTACGACATCTAGGCTGCGAGCGAAACCGCCGCGGCACGTTCCCGAAGTTGCCGGCTGTCCTCGAACGGCTCTCCTTGACCGATGGTGATTTTTAGCTATCGGTTTCTTCCACGCATCTTTATTTTCTTGTGTGTTTTTGCATCCCGCGTGGATCCTCGGCCGCTCGACTGTCGTCGTCGTCGTTCGGGCGCGTCGTAACAGCAAGATTTTCATCTGTGATTTTTTCTAGCGAGTTATCTACTTTTTTTTATCTTGAAACGTGAAACCATTTGTTGCTCAAGCGTAATCTCGCACGACAGAGACGGCCCAGGGTGTATCTCAGACCTTACAGACGTCCGCAAAAAACTGCTATTATTATAGCTGTGTATTCTCCGCTAGCACACCTGAATACCTCCCGACCCACTGCATCCTTCAACCTCCGAAACGTCCAGCATGTATATCAATCAAAATAATCGCGCAGTGCGTGTAATGTAACGTTTATGCGAGAAAAGCTGTGAGTTTGAGTTTGAGTTTGAGTTGTTAGAATTTATGTTATATGCGTTTTGTTTATGCTATGTTATAACCAGGAATAGTAAGGCCAGGTATCGTGTCAATGTTTGTTTACGTTTAACGCAAATAAATACAGTAATCACTATTATCACAGGCACTCGGCTCATGAAAATTTTTCTATGGAAATTATATTTATTTAGTGTGCATCATTTACTATATAATGAGTCGATCAGAAAACAGATGTTAAAGAATGTCGTATTGTGGCAAACCTTTCCAGAATGCAACCTTTCCGTTACCTTGGGTATTACTGTAATTAGTGAAACGATGTTAAAATGATAAAATCAGGGATATCTTGCAACATTATGTATATATACTGTGTAATGAATTTGTTAATGCTACCACAACTCGAGTTTGAAATATTGATGTTTGATTCTGATTTCGAGTTATTGAAGTTAGATTGACATTGATACTGACCGGCCATAGGATCTGAATACGTTTACACAATGTATGGATTGAAATGATTTAGTAATGTCTACTGTAAAAGTGCAAAATGCATATATTTCCATGTGAAATTCACTATCTCCATCTCTCTGCGAATACCAAATGCTTTCATTTGTATTAAAGAATTATGAGGTGAATTGCATAATGTCTTCTAATAATAACATATTAATTTTTTAGTTTTGTCAAGTCTGCCTGTTGATAAATCCTGTGTAACACTAATGAGACTGGATGCATAGAAGTGTATCTGATCCATGATAGTACTGTGATAGCTTATATTAAGTGAAGATAATTTATGCTGCAATCTTTTTTATTTATAGATTGTGTTTCACACAAAATAAAAATCTATAGCTTATGTTCAACTTATATGGTTCAACATTATATTCACTAATTTGAATTTATCTTTTCACGTTTTCTTGTACGTGAACATTTTATCATCGACCAGCTCTACCCGTGTAGCCCTTTGCTCCTCCTACCGGTTTATATGACATGGAAAACGTGCTGGGAAACGGCAGTGAATCTTTTCTGCATGGCAGGATAACTGGTGCCAGCTGAGTAATGCCGCCACTATTTAAATCACACACGGTGGTGTATTTGAGCTTTTAGTTAGCGTTTGATAAAGGGCCCAATCTGGCTCAATTGAGTTTGGTGGCATGCTAAAGTCAGGACATTTGCAGGCTAGCATTTTTCAGTTGTATCACGGGCTATTGCTTAGCCTACCAAACTATAAATATTCACTGTTGTTCCCAGTGCTGTTTCCCAGCGATGTGGGTCATATAGCCCTGTAGCGGTAGTGAAGGGCTACACGGGTAGAGCTAGAAAAAGCCAACTACATAATGCGTAGCCAAATGTGTTCAAGAACAAACCTTAAAACTACAATTTCAGTGAGGATATTTAGTACACAAGTTGAATTCAAATAATATGCTTATATATACAGTAAATTATTCATATTTACAAAACTGTTACAAATTATGATTGTATAAAAAGTAGACAACTTCTAGCAGACTCTGGACCGATATTACAAGAACAAATTTGATTTAAATATCCTCCGACTAAATCTAATACTAGCAATGCTGATAATAAGCATCAATTTCTACACACTGGTACACTGAAAATACCCAGGGAGTTGAGAATATATTCTCAACTCCCTGGGTATTTTATATGTATCACAAATTTCGTAAATGTATGGATACTGAATACCGGTAGCAACAGAATGTTTGATTTGTCAACTCGAGATGTATTCAACCTTCAGTGGATTTACATAATGAGGCCATACCTTCTTAATCCATTGTAAATATACGTGATGCAATATCATCTATTACCCAATCGATGCCTTCTAACAAGTTCTCGCCTGTAACTGCACTGCAGTGATAAATTTGCCAATGATGCGTTTTGATCTCGTCTAGTTCTAAAATCTGCAAAAATGAATTAAAAACTCATGTTAGTTTCCTAACTACACATAACAGGCCTCGAATTAAGCGACAAGAGGGGCAAGGCAATTTTTTGGGGGCATGTGAGAAATTGCCTTGAATTTTATCTAAAATGGATGGGCACCGAAGCAACTCTCACAATTTGAGAAAGGCACCAAGGCACTTTTGTTTTTTACTGTGTATGTACAGACCGTCTCCCGCCCACATGTACATCGTCTTCCGCCCCCATGTAAGCTTACACCGTAACACCGACCCCTGTACCCCCCTCTGCTAATGGAAGTACAGTAACAGGGTTCAACATTAACTTTTTATTTCACTAGACCATCGGGCTAGTAACTGAGGAAAACCACTAGCCCTGACCTAACTTTCACTAGCCCAGACCCATGCAGACCATTGTTATGGAAAACTTTCTGTCATCGTATGAATTCTACACAAGCTACACACCGTACAGATCGCAGCTGGCCATTCTTGCGCGAGCGTTGTTTCCCGCGCTTTAAATCGATTTTCAGGGGCAGTACGGCGATTGATAGGGGCACCGACAGCAATTGCCGTCGGTTAATTCGAGCCCTGACACACAATATTTATAAGTTATGACACGACACAATTACATCATTATGTCTGGATGGCAATAACTGTATTTGCCCACAAATTTTATTAGCATAATTGTAGTTGATAAATCTCAATTGTTAGGAATAATGAATTGGTTCAGTGTTTGAATATTAGCCCAGCCCTTTGATTTTTATGGATTTTGTTACATGTTGTATAGAGAAAATCTAAATTTTATCAATATCAGGATTGGCTGGCTTGTCAAGTCAATATTGCCTAGGCCTTAGTGAGTCTTTGTCTTCATAAGGCCCTGCAATGTTACCATTTTACACAACGTCACTCTTCTCAAACTTAAATTAGAAACAGATACCTAAATGGTCGGTGGACAATGATGGCTGATCTACAGTTGATTACAGCATTACTTGGCTGCAAAGACCATTTTGTTAGAATAGAGAATGTGAAATAACCTGTCGTATATCATCAGCTGAGAGTGCTCCTGGTAAATCCTGCTTGTTTGCAAAGACGAGCAACGTGGCACCACTTAACCTCTGTAAAATAAAACGTAATTAAGAATTCATCTATTCATTTACAGTATATTTCACAATATATTTAATGGAGATTATGTTGTTGTAACAATTCAAACATATTTAACATTATACAATTTCTAAACATGGTAATAAAAAGATATAAAATATTGGACTCTGGTTGTAATAATCCATCAAATGTCAGATAAGGTAGTTCACATCATTTTTCAACAAGCACAGCCGACATAATTTTAAACTTCAGCTAAACACGGCAGGTGCCAACTGCAATACTATGTTACAACACATTTCTAACACTGATGCACAGCTTTTCACAGTACTATGCAGTACCTCTTCTTGTAGAAGGGAATGTAGCTCTCGCTTGCAATCTAAAAGTCGCCTTTTGTCTGCACTGTCCACCACCCATACCAATCCATCGGTGCTCTCAAAGTAGTTCCTCCAATATGAGCGGAGAGACTTCTGGCCTCCGACATCCCACACATTTAATTTAAATCTGCAGCATTGAAACATTGTGGAATTTATAACTTAGGAAGAAGCTCAAGCTGCTTAACTTGGCTTTTTTAAAACATCTGGACTATCTAGATTACATTGAGAATCAGATATATGCTACATTGTGTTTTGAACATGCTACAATACCGTTAAAACCCACTTTACTGTCCTATTGCTAATTGAGTATAATACACAGGTATATCCTTGACAACTCATTATTGTTTAAAAAATTATGGATCTATCTGGGTTAATTATTACTCAACCGTGAAGATTGAAAACGTACAGCTGACGTTTCGCCTCCTATCATGATCAGGAGGCTTTCTCAAAGCTGACTGAAGATTATCAGTTTTGACCATCAGATGGTGTAGTGGTCAACAGCTTGGTCCACACGTGACTGAGTCTGTATCCCCTTCGTCACGGTTGATGTTCGGGGGTCTTGCGGATCCAGATGGCCTCCTTAATCCAACGCCTGATTTTGATTAGCTCGCGATCGATGATCTTCGAATTATCCCAATCGATGGTGTGATTGTCCTTCGCTACGTGGTCCGTGACCGTGGATTTGGTTATTTCGGTAGCCGACTGTTTTCGTTGGGCCCTTGTGAAAGATTTGGGTGCTACGGTGTCTATTTCCTTTTTATGTTCTTTAAGGCAGGTTTCAAATTTTCGGCCGGTGTCTCCAATATAACTTTTTTCACACATTGCACACGGTATCTTGTCGACACAGTCTGTAATGTTGTGTATAACTGTTCTGTCCTTAGGGTGTACCAAATGCCTTTTCAATGTCTCAAGTGGTCTAACTGTTGATAAACAGGTTAGGGATACAGACTCAGTCACGTGTGGACGAAGCTGTTGACCACTACACCATCTGGTGGTCAAAACTGATAATCTTCAGTCAGCTTTGAGAAAGCCTCCCAGGGTGGTCCACAACCTAAAATTCAAACATGTAAAACTGGGAACTTTAGAGGAGTACATTAGATATTAATTGAAATATTGTGCGTGAAGCGCACATCATGAGCGCGAAGTCACTTGCGGCCGGGGTCGAGGACCCGCCTTAGGGGCCTAGAAGCTCAGGGGTTTTAGATGCTCTCTGGTGCAATCTGAGCCTTATTTTGGAGCATTTTTGCACAAAATTTATGCCCTATATTTCAAAATAATTTGGGTTGAGTCAAGAGTCATGAGTCAAGAGTCATGAGTGATGAGTCATTTTTCATTGTTCAATTTGTATACTAGTGTGAATGTAACCAGTAAAATGTTATAAAGCAATGTGCGAAAAATGCAAATAAATATACTATAAGGTGAAACTATATTTTGCTATATTTTATTCGGATTGAGCGTCGTTACTGAGTAGAAAATCAAATATCGTAATAAAGGCTTTAAATTCCCAGTTTCCTTTTCCTAATTGCTGCCCAGGCATCTGCTGCCTCGTGGAAAGGGAAGTCCTGAGCTGGTGGGCCTTCCACAGACACCATCATAAGGGCATTTAGTGTGTTCTGAATCAGTCTTATATATTAGAAGTCTAGGTAGAAGGAATCTGATGAAATAGGCTGGTTATTGTGAGCTGTATTTTATTCATAGCAGAGTGCGAAGCGCTATGATATGAGGCTCATGCCAAGTAAAAGTCTATGTCGGACAAGTTATTCATTTGGCTAGTTGCCCGATTGGACAACTAAAAAATTTCTAGTTGTGTAATATTCCTAACATCCTTTGAGCCAGGGCGCTATCGCACGACATTCTCACATTATATTTTCAAAGGTTGCCGAAAAAAGCGGCCTGCGAGGCACGCATCTGTGGCTGTGCATATTGACGCTGCGTACGTGCCTGCTGGCTGAGGGCGGCATTGATTGAAGTACTGGGGGGGGGCACGATTGTTTCAGTCGCGTGCTGCTAATCACTACTAAAATGTAGGGGGTGGGCACCTCTGGACTATGAAAGAGCGACAGCAAAACTCTTTCCAGGCATGTGCGCAGGCACGGACACACAGGCATGTGCACAGGCACGCGTACAGGCACGCATGCATGAATCAGATCAAGCAGCTCAGAAGATGTAGACGCACTGTATGATTCGACTGCCCAACAAGTGGGAGCCCATGCACAGAGTAAAACAGTGTAATAGACTGTAATAGTGTATGCTACAAGCGCGCACTGTGACTACGCGTACGTCATCCCGTTCGACAGTGCAGTACAGTTGCATTTTGTTTTGTTTGTGTTGTTTCTTGTTTTGATATTTCAAACCTGTCGCCCTGAACTCCAAACCTGTCGCCGATTTTCAAACCTGTCGGCCCAAAACTCAAACCTGTCGGCCTTACATGTTAAAACCCCTCGTGGACCACACTGGCCTCCTGATAGGTGAAACGTCAGCTGTACATTTTCAATTTTCACGGTTGAGTACGTAACAATTAACCCAGATAGATCTATTAGACTACCAACCAAATGAACTTATTTAATGAGTAAAAAATTATGATAATTGACCGTCTATCATGGGTATAGAATTAAAAATAGCTTGCCCTCTATGGTCTAATGTCTTGATGTTGAAACCAAGTGTAGGTGAGATTAAGCTTATGTCTTCACCATTGAATTTCTTCAATATAGTCGTCTTTCCAGCATTATCTAGACCACTGGTTAGAAGTGCAAGGTCCGAATTAAGGAATACACTTATAAGTTATAGATTGATAGCTTGTCATTTGACTTCACAACTGTTGAATACATTCTCTTGGTTTATTTTATCAAATTCAAATTCAAATAAAGTTTATTGCACAGATAATCGTAGATCATACAGGCAAATATGCTACAAACTACGATAAAACAAGTTCCTAGGATAATAAAAACATCATAATACATGATAATATATTTTTTTGTTATTTAACATAAATTAACGTTCTATCCAAAAAACAACAACACTGGGGGTTGTTATCGACGCTTCAAGTGCCTGTGAGTTGGGACACCGTCACCGAATGCGACGATTCACTCACTAAGTTATGGAGTTTAGAGTCGAACGATCTCAAGAGTATATTTTAAAACATCAGAAAGGATACAGCATGAGTAACCTCATTTCTTTTTCCTTTTGTTTCATCTTTCTTAAAATCGTTAATAGCCCCATTACAGCGAGGTGTTTGGATTGTTAACTATTTCACAACGATGGACGCCGCCATACATAAACACAAGAGATCACGCGTGACTTCGCGAGATGCGACGAGAACCGGAAAGAAAATAAACCTAGAAATGTAAGCGTTGTACATGATGTATCCTATGATGTATCATTGTAATTTGTATGTTATAAAGTCGACTATTTACCTGTGTTGGATTGGCTAGTGTCAGTAAACCTACAGGCTACATTACTATATACAGTATATTGTGTAAGCAAATAAAACAATCCCATGATTGGTTTTCACAACATAGTCATTCATATAAATCGGTTTACTTTACTTCTTCTTCTTCTCGGGTCACTACACTACACTCGGCCCAGCCACTGCAGCACACAGGCCTTGGCACGGTGGTTGAAAGCCTCAAGGTCTCCAGGGCTACAGGGCTCTGGCAATAAGGGGCATTTTAGGAGATGTCCCATAGTCTGGTCCTCCCCGCAGTCTCATTCGATTGGACCATCTTCAGTGTATCCCCATTTCTGCATGAGTGCCCTACATCGACCAAAACCTGTCCTGAGGCGATTTAGGCACAACCACGTCGGCCATACCTCGTTGGCTCCGGGCGGAAGGGATTCCTGGGGTGTGAGTGAAAGCTTATGTTGGCTTGCCTGAAGATGCTTTGACCATTGGGCGATCCTGTAGTTTTGGAGGTTGTCATCCAGGGTTTGAACCACGTGGATGAAACTGTGCCTGGACTTTAGTCTCTTCTTTACTGTTTCATGCTGGAAGAGGGGGTGACGAGGGTCATTTTCTTGGTTAAGTTTCTCTACTTGGGATGAAGCCATTCGTCTAACGTGTGGGGGAGCGATGCCACAGAGCAGGTAGAGGTCATCTACGTTGGTTGGTCTCAAGCATCCAGAAATGGCTCTGCAGGCAATGTTCAGAACTGGGTCCATTTTTGCAGCATGGGGCGACCTACTCCATACAGGGCATGCATACTCAGCCGCAGAGTAGCACAGGGCGATAGCAGTGGTTCTGATTGTCCCGGCATCTGTTCCCAATTTAGTATTGGCCAACTTCTTTAGAATACTGTTTCTGGCACCCACTTTGGCCTTTGTCTTGATGATGTGGATGTATAATTTATAAATAAACTATTATGTACTAATGTACATCTAACTAAATAACTAATAACTACTAATGTACTATGTGATTTTTGTAAGTTAGAGAGCGGTCTAAAGTAACACCTAGGTAGACTGGGCTATAGGTATGTTTCAGCCAT